TGAATGTTCGATTTCCTGAGTGTGTTCAGTAAAGGTGCATCCTGCACTACAGTGTGTGCCCTACAGTGCTACACAAATCAGAATGTTGTATCCAGTGACAAAGCTGTACACTGCACAGACCTTTCACTACAAGTGCAAAAAATCGATTTCCCTGCCATTTAATTTTCCAGCTAGAACAAAGGCTGTAACTGAAAACCTGTTTCTGATGTATTGATGGAAGCAAGAACATATATTTACAAGTACATGGGGAAGTTCCAAGCAACATCTAATTAAATTTTAACTAAAAAGGTACCTAGATAATCTAAGCAAGTAACAAATCCAGTCACTATGTGATGCACGAGCCCAATTAATTAAAAAAAAAAAAATCTTCCTTTACCTTCCCCAACTTAGTCAAATACTTCTTCATTTGTATCTCACATGCCCCCATTCCCAGACACTGCAGCTCACAGTGTGTGTTTCAGCAGCAGAGACAGTGCTGTCAATCAAGAAAGCAGAGGGTGGGACCAAAGCCTGAGCAAAACTGAGGAGTACAACAATGACAATGTCACTTCACTGCAGATCATACAATGGATTATCTGCACGACACAATAACATATCCCAATGTATAGGTAGCAGAGGATCGTCTCAAACTAGTATATGGACAAGCCTTTTCATTAAATTCATTTCTTATCGAGCCGTCTACTACTGGACCAGAGATATAGGTGGAATGAATAACAAACATCAATCTGCACGCAGATCAATACTTCTGAAAACTTAATTACATCCACAAATTGGCAAACGCGACTTGCCAGTCCTGAATACAAATGGACACTGCATTGCTTGTCTCAGAACAGCTTTATTCCAATGCAGAAGTACCTGGCTGGATAAGAGATTCTGTACACCAAACAGGTCTGTGAAAGCTAGGCCCGAGCGAACATATACAATGATGAAGGAACGGACCGGAAACCACAGTGATACTGAGGATGAGGGGAAACGATTGGTATACAAAGGAACATTTATCTCTACCACAATGCACTGTATTCTGTAACACACTGGACACTGCAGTACACTGCAACACACTGGACACCACAATGCACTGTACTCTGTAACACATTGGACACCGCAGTACACTGTACACTAAAGCACTGGACACCGCAGTACACTGTACACTAACGCACTGGACACCGCAGTACACTGTAACTGGACACCGCAGCACTGGACACCGCAGTACACTGTAACGCACTGGACACCGCAGTGCACTGTAACGCACTGGACACCGCAGTACACTAACGCACTGGACACCGCAGTGCACTGTAACGCACTGGACACCGCAGTGCACTGTAACGCACTGGACACCGCAGTGCACTGTAACGCACTGGACACCGCAGTGCACTGTAACGCACTGGACACCGCAGTGCACTGTAACGCACTGGACACCGCAGTGCACTGTAACGCACTGGACACCGCAGTGCACTGTAACGCACTGGACACCGCAGTGCACTGTAACGCACTGGACACCGCAGTGCACTGTAACGCACTGGACACCGCAGTGCACTGTAACGCACTGGACACCGCAGTGCACTGTAACGCACTGGACACCGCAGTACACTGTAACGCACTGGACACCGCAGTACACTGTAACGCACTGGACACCGCAATGCACTGTACTCTGTAACACACTGGACACCGCAATGCACTGTACTCTGTAACACATTGGACACCGCAATGCACTGAAAACTGACGCACTAGCCACCTCAATGTACTGTACACGGATACAATGGACCCCGCAATGCACTGTACCTGGTGCCTGGTGTGCTCTCCTCCTCCCCTATTGCTCCTCTGGCTGCAGCAGGTGAAATCCAGGGCTTCCAGGCTGTCACTTGCTGGGTCCACGTGGCCGAGGACTCAGCAAGCAGCCTAGCCATTTGCTGGCTGGCTCTGTGGGTTTTTTTTTTCAGCTGGCCTGGCAGGCCAGATAGATGTCTATGGTGGGCCATAGTTTGAGGACCCCTGCTCTAGTGGCTCACACTACTACAGCAGGCAAGTGACATCTGGGGTTCTGCCCTACATAAATTTGTCAGTCACTATCATTTGTAAAACAGTCCGAAATCAAAGCTAATCATCAGGATGTGCATTAGTGGATCACTGGACCCCAGGGCAGGTGAAAAAGAAACAACTCTCTGTCAACCAGGGTGTCCTTAAAGGTCTCTGGGGTAATCTGGAGAACATTAGAAGGATAAGAACTCCACAAATCTTGAATGAGTCCAGTAATATTGAAATATTTCAAATTTTGTCAAAAATGCAACGCATGTCGAGGGCTCAAAACTCCCTCTTCATCAGGGCTTGGGTGCTGACAGTGAATTCATACTAATACTGAACAATAGATGCAAAGTAAATGAATAAAAAAACCTAATGATTTGGGTCAGCAGACTGACAGAGGGTCATTGAAATCATTGTCCTAAAAAATAGCATTTTACTTAACTCAATGAAGTTTTATAGCACTCTCATCCTTCTAATGAATTCAGAGCTGAGGCAACACACACAGCACTTTGTAAAAAGCACATGTCCACCAAAGACAGAAGTACACACATTAGTATCTTGCAATTGACAGTGTAATAGAAATACTTTAATACATTAAAGTGGTAATAAACCCCAAAGCCAAAAATGTAATGTATTGCAGCTTACAAACCATTAGATGTGGTGGCTGCATCAGTTTTGTTTTATTTGGCTTTCTCCCTCTGTTTCACCTGGTGATCTGATCAGAACACACCTCGGGTACTAGTGAGACACCACTCTGGATGAATGAGCAAAGGGAGTACTGCAGATAGCAGCATTGTCAGCCTGGGGGGAGGGGAGTGTTACATGTACTAGCACATTCAAAAACTGTAACTAATTGAAGCCAAACTACAGCTCATACCTTATAACCAGTTAAAGCAAGCAGTTCTTTTTTTTCCTTTTGGGATAAAGGTTTCACACGAAAAAACAAAAGTGGATCATTTTACCACCCCTGCCAGTGTTAAATGGTTTGTTTCATCCATGTAAGCTTATACATTCTGCTGGAGATCTTGTGCTTTTGAACAACAACAGACTTACTGGCTGGATCACCAGATGAAAATAGAAGAAAGAAACCCTAAAAAAGAAAATGAATTGCAGCCATCATATCAAAGAATTGGTAAGCTGAAATATAATAAATGTTTGCTTTTGTGTTTAATACTGCTTCAACCCCTGAAACCCTTAAAATGGCCTTCTGTAAAGTGACCCTATACTGTGGACACAACAAAAGGTCTCCCAGCATTTTAGCGTCTCCTCAATCTCTGGGAGCTCCAGCCTCTGTGTGCTCATGCGGTCTACTTGCTACCATGACAGTGCTAGCGTGTTAGTGTGTGGCAGTGAGTTAGTGGTGTCAGGCTCAAAGATCACTTAGAATATCACTGCAATGACACCAACCTCTTCCACCACCAGATACCCTCACATCAACGTGTGAGTGGAGCCATCATGGGTGGGATGTACACAAGATTTACTACTCATTCAATAATACTGTACTATCTTTTAAGGAAACCTATATATAGGCTGATCATGCGGACCTCTTCTACAGAAAATGCTTGTTCCCCGGCTGCAATGCTGACCTAGTGGCTTCAATACTCTAAGTTACAGATGCAGAACAAGTATGGAAATATTTTTTTTTTACTTTACTCTTCACTTGATGAATGCCTATTCTAGGTCTTGCCATGCACTCACACACCTGAACACGGACAGTCCGCAGACATTTCACAGGCTCCATCTGACATCACAGCACATTCAGGGGGTGAACAGAGAGGACTATTTTGCAAAATGGAGCCAATTTCCTTTTCAGCCTGTACTAGAAATATCCATCCCAATCAAGTCATTTGATACTTACCATCAGCTCTTCACATTTATACATATAATAAAGATCACAAAGCAACTCAAAGCATTCATTCAGCTAATTCCATTCTGATAGAACAGATGTAATTCTGAGTCTCCTGCACCCTCTGGTGGCAGCAACTGATATACACGTTTCCAGTTCTATGTGTACATGCTCTGTGAGCCAGTTCACACCATATACAGTCCAGTGACGGTTTTTTTCTGCATCAAAAATGCATGTTACATGGATTCCAATGGAGAAGTTCACACCATTGCAGTGCGTTCCAGTAAAGTCAAAAAAAGTAGAACAAGCTAAATTGTTTCTGCAACAAACTGCACTGGAATGCAGCAAAACACACCAAAAATACACTGGAAGACATCTAAACACATCAATACCACACCGGAATGCATTACAGCAAAAAAATAAACAATTCCCAGAAAACTTTGAAAAAAACAAAGAGGGAGAAAATGTACTGGAACGCATTAAAACAAAAAATAAAATGCACCAAACGCACATGCAGAAATGCATCTGGACTGTGTTTCTGTGCTGTGAACCAGCCCTGTAGACAACTAGACCAGCCTTTCTCAGCCAGGGTCCCACCAGTGGTTGGTAGGAGTTCTGCAATGAGCAGATTCTGCCTCCCAGATAAGTCATTACTGAAAATAATTATATTTTTAGCTATCTGTAAAGTAATCAAATTTTTCCAATGAGCACAAGTGTACCCCAGTAACCATCACATTAATGTGCCATGGGCTGTAGATATAGTAATAATTAGCAGGGGTTCCCTGAGACCAGAAAGGGTTTTCAAGGGTTCCTCTTGATTGAGAAAATTTGCATTAGTTGGATAGAGATTAGCCTGGAGTTGGGGATTTCACTACATGTTGGCCCAGTTAGGTGACCTTTTGAAAGGTGTCTGGTAAGATTGGCTTTCTGGTGACCAGAAGAGAGAGATCACCGCCATTTCTTTTGGCTGCTACACTAGGCTAAAGCAAGAAGGAAAGGTCAGAGCTGGATCTAACGATACGGTTGTGTAATATCTTCAGCAGCACTGTACAAAGTACTGAGACAACACGGCACAGGATACACATTTTATATGCTCCGGCTGGTGCAGAACACGGATGACAGATAGAGGGATTGCTCACCTGGATGCAGCCAAAATCGACATTCTCATAGTGGAAGTGAGCGCACTCGGCCAGCTTTGGGAAGTGACCCTTTGTGAATGATAACCTGATGATGGGAAACAAAGAGACAAGGTGAGTAAATGGGAACAGATAACCCCCTTACACACCAACGCCCAATAGGCAAGTTTTGGTTTGTCAGTATTCTTCATAGTACTATATATCCTCACACACTTCTATTTACAAAGCTGCTTTGGTAACTTTCTGCACTCAATATCCTCAGGATTTTAATCCAGAAAATGTCTATTCTGATGTTGGCTTTGGCTTTTTATTAAGGCTTTCCAGAGCTCTTAGGTGGTAATTTTAATAATATTTAGGCAAAAATTAAGTGATCACATGATCCCTTATAGGTAAACACAAAGCCCTGAGTGGTGTCTTGCAATATTGGTGGATGTCTTATTTACAAGAGTTGCTGGCAAGCACAAGGGGGAGAATGTTAAAAGGGCAGAATAGCAGAGTGTACTACATACGTCCTGTGTACGGTCATAAAGTTTTTTTGTATGTGTGTAGTATGCCCAGTATCAACAACTGGTTAAAGTGTTACTACACCCACAATAGTAAAATCAGTCCGTATATGCAGTAAAGCATGCTTGTTATACTCACTGTGGAACCTAAGGGGTTAATCCTTCATAATTGTATAAAAAGGCTGTTTGATCCTGTCTTCTCTGATCCTCCTGTTCTTCTACTGTCCCCAATCCATCAGCTGATAGTACAGAGCCCTAGGAGGCACTCTGCACATGCTCTGTTTATTGTGTATTGCTAGAGATTTTTTTTCTTTTTTTGGGAGGGTGCATGTAAGCGGCACAGGGCCAATCAGCACTGTACAGACAGAGGGTCAGGGGTCATGCAGCCTCATAGGACAGTCAGAGGGGAATGAAAACTCCTCCTACAAGCTTTAACCAGTGCTTGGCAAGACACTGCTAAAAGTCAGAAGACTGGTCTATACTGCTTATGAGAAAAGGTATTTAGCAGTTTATATTTACTAAATTAATTGAGTTTCCAAGTTCTGTGTACTGTGGGAGACCAGATATAGTGAATGCAGGGTCCTGAGTTTAGTAACACTTTAACCACTTCAAGTCTGGACACTTTTACCCCCGTCCTGTCCAGGCCAATTTTCAGCTTTCAGTGCTATCACACTTTGAATGACAATTCCACGGTCATGCAACACTTGATTTTTTTTTTTTTTTTTGCTATATAAATGAAAAATTCCAAAAAGTTTGAAAAAAAAGTGTTTTTCTTATAAAATTTTTCAAATAAATATTTCATCATAAATCTTGGCCAAAATTTATTCAGTTATCTTTTTATTTAAAAAAAAACCCAAATTAGTTTATAACCAAAAATTATAAATTTTTAAACTTTTTTTAAATTTTTATTAAATTTTTTTTATATTATTTATGTTTTTTTCACATACTGTCACTCTAGCAGTACAGTGTCACCATGGTGACACTCTACTAATTGTTTATTTTTTTTTTTTTACACTGATTGCTTTTACACCCATAAAGGCTGTAAAAGCAATCATTTCTCCTTCTCTCTGGCTACATTCTTGCAGCCATTGAGAACTACTGTGTGAGCTGTGATTGGTCACAGCTTGTCACATGGTACAAGGCTGTTGTGAATAGCCTTGTACCATGTGACCTCTGTGATCATTCACAGATTTCACAGAAGTGACATCTTGCTTACTACTCTGCATGTGATCACTGATTGGCCAATTGGTGATCACATGATCGGGACCTCACACAGAGGTTCCGTCCGACGATCAGTGTTCCACTGAGTCCGGAGGACACAGCGGGCACCGGATCGCGGTGCTGCGCTCTCCCAGGGAGCGCGCACAAGCAGGGGACGGGGAGGCTGTTTATAAACGGCCACCCAACCCTGCACTGCCACCATCCGGCCGTTTATATACAACGGCCGGACAGGAGGTGGTTAAGTAAACAGTGAAAACAATTGGCTTCATTTTTCTTATTACAAATATCAGTTAAAAAGAAAGCTTCTCTACACACCTACACATCTGTAGAAGTCCTATACCATGCCTTATAGAGACCACATCCATTAAACATTTCATAGTAAATGCTCCACTTTAGACATGATAGGCTTAATTCACAAATCTGTAACACATGGATAAGGATTTGTATTTTAGTCATGTGACTGTCATTTTCACATCTCATTGGACTTTTGGTCATATTTCTGACAGTAAGAATCCTTATCCTAGTGCATTAGCCTTGTGAATTGAGCCTTATATAGCCTGACAGGACATTACAAATGCTGTAAAAAGATAATTTAGAAGGAAACTCACTTTTTGACATTTTTGACTTTCATGCTGGCGGTGTTGCTACAGGAGCGCATCGGAAGTTCCACTGCGATGGGAAGTTCTCCGGGAACTGGTATATCTGCTCCCCGGGCCTACAAGAGATACATATAAATATCACATATTCATATGAAAGAATTATCAAACATCTGCTACAGGACTCTATAATCTCCTGAAGGAATTATCATTGCGAGGAGAATGAAATTCACTATTGCAGCAATCACACAGATACAAAGCAGTTTATTTTAACCTTTCCTGACCTCTAATAGCAGTTGGCTAAATCCCCTGATCAGCTTTCTGCTATGCTTGTTTATAAAAATGTAAGTAATCTTTTATATTTGCATTTTGTTTTTTGGGGTTTTTTAGAAAAGCAATCAACCATTTTTTTTAAATCCACCATATCATTCAGAGTTAATGTTTAAGGAAATGTACCTATTCTCACTGCTTTTACAGTAAAGAAGTCTTTTCATAGCCATGGCATTTTTCTCATTGCAAGGGGATTCCTTTGTCTGTTCCTAGAGTTCTATCTAAAGTTTATTCACTATAATCCACTTTTACAATTTCTTAAGGTTAAAAAAATGCCTCTACTCAAGTGCACTAAAGGAAGAGATGGCTGCTCAGTACTAAGTGATTCATCATTTTCAATGTGCAGGACACTACAGCTAGCCCTGTACTTCCGACCCAAGCAAACTTGAGAGCTCTTATACACAGAATTCCTAGTGTCGTTTATCTGCCTGCTTCTCCCCCTTGGCTATTCACAGAATACTTTGTATTTTGTGAATGGTTTACAAAATACAAGGCATTGTGTGATTGGACAAGGGAAGATGTGGGCAGATAAATAACTCTAGGGTTTCCATCTATCCAATCCCAAAACAAATAATAATTGTAGTTTAATACTCCTTAGAAGTGATGGGTACATTTATTTTATTACTTTTCAGACTTTATTGCCTTTATTGTCACATGTTGATCCTGCCATTAATATGCTTCCTGTCCCTAGGTGGCTACATTCACTCATCCACCATGTCAGTGGAGGGAACCATAGTCATCATCCAGGCTGGACTTGAGACGTGTGTCTTTCTTTATCTCCATCACATAGTGGATTGATAAGATTAGTGGTTCCTCCTCACTTCATTAATTCTACCCTTCTTTCACACAGGATGAGGGCCATCTAACACTTTGTATGAGGGGAAAAATGTTCCTCTCTCAAGTCTGCACTTCTATTATTGGGTTCTAATGAGTCCGTAATTTGTATAATATCCATTCACACCAATGTGGCTCCAAGGAGCAGGGCCCTCCTAACCCTCTTGTATTGAACTGTATTGTTGCTGTATTGTCTCCCGTTATATTGTAAAGTGCTGAGCAAACTGTTGGCGCTATATAAATCCTGTATAATAATAATAATAATAATGTGCTGGTGTTATTTATTGCTGGGCATTCTAACACAATGCGATGTGTTATAACATGTTGCTGTGTGCATAGAATTAACACAGAGGTTATAAAATAAATGTATACATTCATACATACATAAACTAGCACCTGAAATGTGTCAGAACTCCGCAGCGCACCATGACAGCGAACGCACATTATGTACTATGCATTGTAGTGCGGTGCGCTGTGAACCAGCCCTGACTGTATTTTCCTGGCTTTAAAAGTTGCAGACTGGCATTGTGTTAATCCTCAGATAGGCAGATAACTATCTGAGAATGATGGGGGGCATCGGACACCTCTGGATATAAATCCCAAAATTCCTGCATTGCTGCAATTCTCACCTGAAATTTTCCAGAAATACAGAAAATCTCTTTGTGAGAAAATAAAAGCCTCTAATTGCCAGAAGCCTTAGATATCAAGGAGGTGATAATAAATGTGAGCTTCCTATTTTAGGGTAGTCTATGGGCAGTCTCAGTCCGAAGTCCCCACGGATACAGACATTCCCCATGTATTAAACGTTACATCTTCTCCTAAATTGCACAGCTTGACATCCATCCACAGGCAAGCCATACCATTTTGGGTGTTTATTTTCTATTGGCTCAACATAGATATAGAGAAGACACAACCTAGAACAGAAAACAATCTACAAAACCCTCTCATCTCTGTGAAGGAGATGTTGGAGACGGACATAATCTGAGCTGTGAATGAGGACGGAGCCTGTACAGGACACAACAGGCCTGTTCCCAAGAATGGAAGCGTCACCCTCACCCCCATCAAATCATCACAAGAAATGAATTATGTATAGGGGAGATCATTATCTTTCCCTCCACAAACCATCATGGCTTCTACACAGAAGTTATTTGAGAAACAAAGCATGGAAATATGAGAGCCATGGGGCAGGAGGAACAATTCCAGCACCACTGTCACATCATGGCCAATAGAGGGCAGTAGTGTCCTATCAGCTCTATGGATGGAATTGGAGCATACATTATATGACACAGAGCCACATTCTGCAATCACAGCAATACATACAACATGGAAAACAAACACAGATTATTTCAGAATGTAGAATATGCTGCTTGTGACAGTGTATAGGTTCAGAACCTGTCTCAGATAAAGCCTGATGCTGTGAGACACACAGAGAAAATGACATTGGTACTCATTTGTAGCAGAAATGTACCTCAATATAGTGTTCTATCTAGATAGGTCTGCAGAAGAAAACCTCATTGGCAGGACAACATTGACATAATACAATACTTCTACTATCCAGAAATACAAAACCCATTCAGAGTACAAACAATATTTGATCTACATGGTTATAATGTACAGCACATGAGCAGCAATTCAAACCTAAAGTCCTGTGTGTGGTCACTCCTCTTCCTCAGCATGGCAGCTGAGCAGATGAACAACAAAATCAAGCTGTTTCCAGGAACCAATGCTGATGAAGAGATGGCAGTGGTCCAATATACAACACATGTGCCAATTTATTTTGTAAAGCTGGCCATACATTACACTCTGTTTTTGTTTTCTTGATCCGCCAGTGGGCTGATCGAAAAAACTGAATGGATTTCCCCATTCACACATTGAAAGCGGATAGTGAAATCCTCCCGCTGCACTACTGAATTCTGACAATGGGACTCCCCCGCTGCCAGAACACTCTAATCAGTGCTGTAGCCGATTGGCTGCTTGAACTGATCAAACACACACATTTTCCAGCAGTCCCTTTCAAAAGGAGCCAGTCAATTAATAGACCCCACTCGAATGGGAAGGGCCATAGATGGATCGTAATTTAGCTGGTCTCTGCTAAACCAGCCAAATTTTGTTTCTTCTAGGGCCAGCTTAAAGTGATTGTAAAGTTTTTTTCTCTTTTTGGAATAACAAACAAGTTATACTTGCCTGCTCTGTGCAATGATATTGCACAGAGCAGCCCTGAACCTTTTTCTGGGGTCCCCTGCCGCCATTTTAGACTCCTCTTTTTCTGCATGTGCTACCATAGGAAGTTGCTTCCTATGGTGGCACACATATGGGCTCACTCCTGAACCAGGCTCTGTTTGTCCATTGACACAGACAGCACTGCTTGGCCCCATCCCCCACTCTGCTCACTGGAATTGACTAACAGCAGCAGGAGCCCGCAGCTTTCGGCCAAGCCTGCGAGAGACTGGAGAGAGGAGAGAAGTTCTGCAGATGAGCACAGCACTGGATCGATATAGGGCTCAGATAAGTATTTAGGTATGGTGAGAGGGAAGAAACAGGCACTGAGATGATTTTTTACCTTAATACACAGAATGCATTAAAGGTAAAAAAAGCTTATGAATTTAGCACCACTTTAAGTCTCTGGCCTCCCTAATGCTGGCCATAGATGGATTGAAATTCAGGTGGTTAAGCAGGGACTGCTGGAAAATATGTGTTTCAACAGCGCAGGCAGCCAATCCGCTGCAACACTGATCAGTGTATTCTGACCGTAGGGGAAATCCGCAAATAGTACATACAATACAATAGTGCAGCGGGGAAGATTTCCTCATCCACCTTGAATGTCAGAATGGGGGAATCTGTTCAGTTTTTTCAATCAACCCGCTGGCTGATCAAAAAAAAAAAAAACCCAGGATAATGTACAGGTGAAACTCGAAAAATTAGAATATCGTGCAAAAGTTCATTTATTTCAGTAATGCAACTTAAAATGTGAAACTAATATATGAGATAGACTCATTACATGCAAAGCAAGATAGTTCAAGCCGTGATTTGTCATAATTGTGATGATTATGGCTTACAGCTCATGAAAACCCCAAATCCACAATCTCAGAAAATTAGAATATTACATGCAATTAATAAAACAAGGATTGTACATAGAACAATATCGGACCTCAGAAAAGTATAAGCATGCATATGTACTCAGTACTTGGTTTGGGCCCCTTTTGCAGCAATTACTGCCTCAATGCGGCGTGGCATGGAAGCTATCAGCCTGTGGCACTGCTGAGGTGTTATGGAAGACCAGGATGCTTCAATAGCGGCCTTTAGCTCTTCTGCATTGTTCAGTCAGTATCCCCATAAAGCTCGTCTGTGGAAGGAAGCATGAAGTGCTTCAAAATCTCCTGGTAGACGGCTGCGTTGACCCTGGACTTAATGAAGCACAGTGGACCAACACCAACAGATGACATGGCTCCCCAAATCAACACAGACTGTGGAAACTTCACACTGGACTTCAAGCATCTTGAAGTGTGAGATGCAAAAGTTGCTCTCATCAGAAAAGAGGACTTTGGACCACTGAGCAACAGACCAGGTCTGTTTTTCTTTAGCCCAGGTAAGAAGCTTCTGACATTGTTTGTTGTTCAGGAGTGGCTTGACAAGAGGAATACGACATTTGAAGTTCATGTCCAGGATCCGTCTGTGTGTGGTGGCTCTTGATGCACTGACTCCAGCCTCAGTCCACTCCTTGTGAAAGTCCCCAACACTTTTGAATGGCCTTTTCCTGACAATCCTCTCCAGGCTGCGGTCATCCCTCCTGCTTGTGCACCTTTGTCTTCCACACTTTTCACTTCCACATAACATTCTATTAATGTGCTTTGATACAGCACTTTGGGAACATCCAACTTCTTTTGCAATTACCTTTTGAGGCTTTCCCTCCTTATGGAGGGTGTCAATGATGGTTTTCTTCACAACTGTCAGGTCA